ATGCGCGACTGCATAAAAGAAACAATTCGAATCCTTTTAGACGAATCCCATCGCCATGAGCAAGGTACTTGAGAAAGATACCTCTTTTCTACTTCTACCTATATCTTTGTTTGTCGTCTTCGTTCACATGATCAAACCTGATGCGGTTTTGATCATTATAGTCAAGAAAGGCAAATAACAATCGCTGTTCTCCACATGCCATTTCAACTTTCAAGTAAACAAGTTTTGTATGCAAATCTATTGGCCGATTACGTGCACAATTGGCCCGGCGATAGCAGAAAGACTTCGTTAAACGCGAAACCCTAGGCGAACACGCACAGCGAGTACCGTTTCCACTGTCGAATTTATCCATTTACACAATTCCAACGTATTTGTGGCTGATGCCCGATTGGATATCGATGACCATAAACCACATTCTGCAATCAATTATTTCTAAAGATACAAATGTGACATCGCAAACTCGTGGCGAAATGCCGAGAGGCTTGTTCGATTCATACCCATTGACTCATATCGAGCAATAAATTGCGGATCGCATTACAATCGCAGCTTAATGCTCACCAGTTTCATGACAACGACAAAAACAACAAAAACAAAATGAACGAATACAAAATCTCTCCTCTGTACACGCTTGATTCATGTGGATGTTGTTGTTCTTCGTTGTGCTTGCAACGGACTTTGGTTTAATTTCGATTTTTTTTTCCGCGTTTGCTCCATCTCGTTTACAGTTTTTTTTTTCTTGCTTGTTGCCACGGATTCAATTATTGGTTTCGACGAAACGGTCGCAATTACATGTAAATGAGCCGGAGAAATAGGCAAAAAAAAAAGAAGTGGAAATAACATTACAAGTGATTCAAATATATGTGGAGTATCTGGTAATTGGGTTTTTGTGTGCAAGTCATCAATGATTCCGTGTGCTATTTTCACGTGTATAATCGGTAATGGGTAATAATGAAATTAGCGCTAACATTCCTTGGATAATGATGATTATGTACGTGCTCACGCGTGCACTTCTCATTCGGGCAACGGCTTGTTCTTTGCCTGTTAGTTGTGTTTCCATTGCTTTTGGCTCCATTTGGATTATCAATTGCAATTCAATTGTTTCGCGGTAATGGTGACACTCAATAAATTGTGTCTCTGCGATCGAACGCGAGCGCAAATGCGCACGTACATGTTTTCGCGTGATTGAGCTCTTGAAATTGCATCGAGAATAATGTGTTTGTGCGCCAATTGGTTAATAGAAAATTCAGTTTTGTTTTCTCATTTATTTTTTTTTTGTAGTTTTGGTCGCAAATAATTTCTCTCTCTGTTGAAACCATTAATTTTGCTCAACGATTGATGGCTGCATTTGACCGAAACAAAATAGGTAATTTGAATTTATTTTGTAATTCTTGTCATGAAACACACACACACATACATGCACACATTTATATCAATTCAATCATTTATCTACTTAATGCAAAGGCACTTTATGGAGTAAAAGTATGTACTTGAGTGCAATTGAATTGCAGTTTGAAAAAAAAGAGTATGAAAAGCAGCAGAAACAAAGCACGAACGAGAGAAGTGAACACCGATGAAAAGAATAAGACCCTCTTCGCTAACATTGTCACTAAAACGCATATCGTGTGATGAGAAATAAAACAACATCGCGCAAAATAAATGCGCACTCAAACGAAAATAATGTTTATTTAATACAAACACATTAATAATCTACTTCTATAAATGGTTGTGGAGTTGAGAACGAAACGAAACGAAACGAAAGACAAAAAAGAAAGAAAGAACGAGAAACGTATGGAAAAGGCCCCAAAGTAATGGAAAAAGCGAATAAGCCGAAGCGAAGCGCACAAGAACCACGAGGCGGAATGATTCGAAAATGAATAAGAGAAGAGCAGCGAGAAAAAAAAACAATACGAAATGATAGCTGCAAGAGAAAGAGAATAACACATCTCACAACAGGTTAATATATGGACACATTAACAGAACGATTGTTGTGTGTTCGAGCTGCGTGCGCTCGCGCAATGACCTACTTTGGACATTGATTTAATAAGAGGCGAAACAGCAAAAACAAACATCATCGACAACGAGCTCGCTGCTCGACGATCGCGCAAAAAAGCAGCAGCAGCAACAACAACAACAAAACACTTCAATACCAATAATAAAACGAAAGCAGCCAAAGAAATTATAGAACATTGCTCACGAATGACGTGGGCCATTCGGTAAACAAATCATTTTGGGAATATTTCCGACGAAAATAGTCGAAATCATTTAGGCAAGCAGATAGAAATGGGAATGGGAAGAATGAATTTATTGCGAATAAAATTCTTTTATTACTCAAATTGATTTTTTTTCTGTTTTCGGGGAAAACCCCGAGCCACCATACATAAGCAAACTAGAAATTCATGCCATTGTCGTTGGTCTCGATTACATTCTGGTAAATATGAAACTTCCGTTACTTTTTCCCTATCTTTCGCACCGTGATTTTTCTCCCAAAGTGTTGCTTCAATCCATCGTACTTTTCTTTATGGCAATTATTACGCCGAGCATTACGTAAGTCGTCGCTGTAATTTATGTGTTTAACTTTCATTGTGCGCATAAGAATCAAGCGAACAAAAAACATTTCCATCTCTTTTCATTTCTACAGCACAAAATGGCAGTGTATGATGTAATTGATGGAATAGGTGGCAGCGGTTTCTATGAGAAATGCGTACGGTGTGCGTGTGTGCAGAGATTTCTTTAGAATAGCAATTTTATTCCAACCAGCAAGAACAAGTTCATGGGGCTGCTGCTAAACATGCAGTATATCTTCGCCATAACTCATATGAGAATGGATTTATGTACGAAAGAAACGGCGGCAACAAATAAAAACGAACGACACGCAGTTGCAGCAATAGGCAAAGGGAAGGAAAACCGCTTGTCACATGCACCTAGAATAGACAACTTTCCTCATATCAACTAAAAACAACTAAAATTACCACTACTGATGCAATAACATAAACCGATTGCAACTCTGCACCACACGGTGGCGGAGAAGAGAGAAAAATAGAAATAGAGAGAGAGAGAGAGATGAAGTAGCGTATTCGCGTGGAAAGACGGGGAAATAAATTGAGTTAGAAGCAATTTACCACACTTATGTGAAGCACGTAAAAATGGTAGCTAACAGCAAACCAAAAGAGAAAAAATGTCATTGCACTTTTAAACTTGACATAGCTCAAGTATAAAAGCGATGTGAATGTACGTGTCTTACACGTTAAAATGCTTTGAGCTATGACAATCAAGCAGTTGAATAGCAGTTTCATGAAAAACACTGCTGCTGCTGCTGCTGCTGCTTCGGCATTGGATTCGTAGCACACGGCAGCCAATTTACCACATACACACATAAATCGCAAATTGAGCTGTGAATGTGAATTGATCGTGACGTTGAATGTTGAAAATCAAAGTAACCAACCATTTACAGCGGCTCTTACATAAGTTCATATTTTATATCATTTCTTGTTTTGCGTTCGGTTTGCTTGCTCGCGCGACGTGGAAATACCATTGAATGAAAATCGTAGGAGCCAGGAGTCGCACATTTGCCTCTGGTTCAGTGATACTCAGGCCCCGTTCATGCCAAACGCAAACACTGTCTGTCGTTGCCGTAATGACGGTCATTGTCGTAGTTTTCAGTGAATGGATGCCATAAACGTAACATCGAAACCAATAATCATTTGCAAATGAATACCAATTTTATTGCGAAAACGGTTTTTTTCGTAGTCAATATCTACGCACATCATGCAATGCATCTTTATGTTCTAGTCGAAGACATCTGAACTGCCATTGCATCTTTCCAATGCAATGATCATAAACATTAACTTTGAAAACAAGCAAATAGAAACAAATAAAACCGACAATGCCATTCGCAGTGTTTTATTTTCAATCAATTTTAGCCTTCTTAGAACGAAGACACTTCTTCATTTTGCGTTTCCAATTTTATGAAAACTTTTAGTCAAATTGTGTTTTAAATAGACTTTTCGACTTTGTGCATGAAAGCGTGTGTTTTCAATCTAGTTTGAATAGATGGCGCCACATATAAAGTTCGATAAAGCTTATTTCATGGGACAACACACAACTTTTTCATTAAGTACATCAAAATTATTCGGTGGAAGTGGCAAACTCTTTGAGCTTATCATTCAAATTGCTCACCCGATTTCGAAAGATGGCGTTGCGTCTTGGATGAAATCGAATAAAATGAACAGGCAAAAAGAAATAATTAATTTTTTCAATGCGAAACATTTGTATTACAATGTGAATGTGAATTGTACATTATTTCACATTGGGAATTAAAATAATGTGAAATTTCTTTTCTGAGTTATCTCAAAAGAGAATTACGTGTACAAGATTTTATTTTATTTTTGTAACTAGGCGTAATTGCTTCATTTCAAATTAGAACTTTGGATAGAAAAAAGAATTAATTTTCGGTCCAAAAAAGTGGCCTAAAGAGCCTTAAAATTTTCTCGTAAAAAAAAACAATTACAATAGCCTATATTTCATGTATACTACATTCCATGTAGTGCTAAAACCCGGCGAAAAAATAATAAAAACGTTTATTTGCATTTCATTCGCTTAATATGAAACATTTTACATCACATTCTTGATAACATATCAAAATGTTGTCATATAAAATTAGATTGTGAACTCCTACCGGAAGAAACTATACGCAACTCATATCATCTTGCTTCCACTTTGTAACATTCAGTGATATTTCATTTGGGCTATCGATATGGAATCGAAAATAAAACTGTTCGCTTTAATTATTATGTTTGTTTTAATTCACGTGAGTGTTCATAGGGTTAATTATTATATTCATGGTACAAATATATATTTATGAAGAAGACATTAGTTGGCTCCAGTAAGAACTAAAGAGGTTTGATAACGATTTTCAGTTCAATTCTTTTTTCGTCTTAAATTTACCTACATCGATTAGATCTGCTGTGGCTTTGAAAGTGATGTATCTTCAGTTGACTCTGTGGAAAGTGTGTCGCCGTCCGTTTCTTCATTTGGAGATACAAAAAGATCCATGCCAAATTTCAGTGAAAACTTTATCATAAGTGAGTTCGATGTAAATTTGTTCAAAATCTCGATTTAAATGATTCGATTTTGAACGCTTTTAATTTCCCCAATTTTATTTCAAATTTCGTAGGTGAAAAACTGAATAAAATTGAAAAAATCACCGTTTGGTTTAGAAATGAGACGTCGTTGCTTGTTTTGTGGCAAACCTCTTTCCCAGCTGGAGAATTTACTCATTACAGAGCCTCAATTGTGCCACCAGATGCACAAGAAAATGTTATTTTCGTTCAGAGGGAATACGAGCCAACTGCTCAAGCACAAGCTGCATTCAAAAGTCTATTGCCCGGAAAAAAGTACAACATCTCTGTTCAAACGGTGCATAAAAATAGAGTGTCATTGCCATCCAGTGCAAGTTATCGTACTGTCCCGTTGAGACCGGTGAATTTGGCTGTCGACGAAGAATCTCTTACGTCAGACAGCTTCCGCATAAGTTGGGAAGTACCAACGGGAATGAGTGAATTCGATGGTTATCAAGTGTCGATTCTAAATTCATTAGTTAGCTACTATGTTCCGAAAACAGATGAACCGGTGATGTGGTTCGACTTCAATAATGACATTTTTGAACCGGGTAAAACCTATAACGTCGCAGTGAAAACGATATCTGGAAATGTCTCGTCATGGCCGGCTGTTGTAAATGTTACACGTGAGAAATAATTAACGCTAGAGATTTCTGCAGAATTAAAAACAAGTCTCGAATATTATGGAAAAATAAAAAAATGTACACTGCGAAGAATAAAGAAGAGCAATTTTTATTCAATTGTTTACTCATTAGTTTATCTTTTCATTGTTTCGTTGCAACTTACAAAATTTCCATTTGATACAGTCAACTTAGTAGTTTTTGTCTTCGTTAGATGGCACTGTCAGACGCAAGCCTAACGAATTGTTGGCTTTGCGTCAAATTGGTCACATCTAATCCATATGTTGCTAGTACGACGCGCGTTAAACGCAATCTCATTGATAGAGCCGACAGCGTACATGGAACGACAGAGACGGTCGAATGTGACTGCAAGCATAAACAATGTATGGAAATGAGCGAGACCACGATATGGTTGCCATCGATCAGGTGAAATATACGATTGAACTGCGCCTATAAACATAGTGGATATGCTATTTCATTCAGCACTGAGTGTGGAACGGTCGTCCGAGTTTGACACGTACAAATTTTTCGTTCGTTGTTGTATATTTTTTTTTTAACAAATCCTGTGTTCTGTGCTTGTTTTTTATCCTCCATCACCATGCACATCGGCACCACTTCCGTGCACAAAATATCGAAAGACTTGAAAAATCAATGAGAAATCGAATATAATTGAAGAATATTTAAATTTTAAGTGGACATGGATTTGAATGTGATTTAACTACCAGTGGGATGCACAGAATACCTTCGATGGTTCTGTTTTGGTCGTGAGCATTGATTGCATCGCGATTTCTAAAAATCAACGCCAAACAACCATCAATGGTTTGATGTATAACCAAATTGAAATCACATTGTGCACAAATCTCGTTTGACTAGTGAATTTAAAGGTCAACGTTAAATATCAGAAAAAAAAATTTAAACGGCTTAATTTTGACTATATCTGACTGTAACCAGGAATTCAGTCGTTCTGTGTATATCATATTTCAACGAAACAAGGAAAAAAAACAAAATTTTCATTTTGTGTGTGACATCGAAAAGACGTTGTGTCGTCGACCCAAATAATAATCGTATAAAAGAAAACGAAACATTTACGTAAACGGTGTTGTGAATGCACAATTGGTTAAAGTAAATATTTACCAAACCAAAAACGAAATAATGATACAACAAAAAAACACCAAAATAATTAAAGAAATAGGTAACTAATTCACCAGAAAAACAGAAAGTTGTCGACATAGAATACATTGTGGTCGATACGAAAATCGCATAATCAAATGGCCAAAGTATCGATCACATATATATATAGAAAAAAAATCAAATTGAATTGAACACAGTAACAGCAATAACATATTTGTGTGTTTATACCGTCTAATGAAATACCATTTGAAAATCATAGAATTAGAGGACTGGTGAACGCGAGTGAAAGAGAGCTCACTTGAAAGCTATACGAATTTGCAAAAAGGGGACAACAAAGAACCGAATTGCAAAAAAAAAAAATTGTTAAGTGATTTCTTTTGTGTGGACTGGTTGCTGGCGTTAACACATACACATACATAGACACGCGCGAAA